TAAAATTATTATTACTTATAGTTAAATTGAATGCTTACCGCTTACTTCTCATTTCTTCACTTTTAGCCGTGTAATTAGTTTATCTGACGGTTTCTTTGTATTCTACTTTGTCCTATTTTACATACATTACATGAAACGATAGCTGTTAAAAGGCCATAAATTTCTTTTAGACACTAAGCACTAGAAAACGTCATTATCAACAGTACATCTAAAAAACATCGTACTATTCCATAACTATGGTGAGATACCTCCCCCCTTCTTCGTCCAGTCAATATTAAAGTTTGATCTTGGTCCTTATTTTGAAAGTCAAACTTTTTTTAATGCAATGTATTCTATTCGTCGTTAAAAGAAAAAGGTTCTCGAAGAAGGTATTCAATCGTTTAAATTTTGTATTGGAAAAATTTTTTATTTGCAACCCGACCGTTTTTTTCTTTTTTTTGGAAAAAAATATTAAATTTTAACAGATTCTGAGACCCCTTCATATGCAAGGTATATAACTATATTTTACCTATATTCAAGCGCAGTGAGAACTTCATCTATTGTCACACATAGACACTATAGAATCACTGTTACACATCCCTATTTTCGTTTTTTCCATTTTCTTCCTTACTATTATTTAACCTACTTGCATCACAAAGCGTAATATTCTGCAATAAACGTTTGCTCGGTATTACTGAACGCGGAATAATTCGCTTCGTCCTGCAATTAGGGTGCATAATATGGAACAAAAACGAAAATAAGGATATTTAATGGTAATTCTGTGTTATGTACGTGCAATAGCACATGCAGTTCTCATTGCCCTTGACCACGGAATCTACAGGGTGTCTCATTTTAATGCATAAATGGAATCTTTGAAAATATTATAAATTCAATGTTTTCTGCTTCGAGGGGGCAATCATTTGGTGTACTTAATTTGTCTTTAGCTGGACGTTTCTCTAGAAAAAACGTACTAATCTATTTACGATGGAAATCTATGAAAACAGAAAAAATTGTAATTGAAACATTTGTTAAGTAACGAATAGTTCTGGACATTTATAGATCATAGATTACAAAATGTATACCGTATATAATATAACATTCATAGATTAAAATTGGATGCTCTGTATACAAGTACAATATATATATATAAAGTAATTTTGAGAGTTTATTGGAATTTCACATTTTCTTCCAAGAAAATGATTAAGTTCCAGCACATTGTTCTCCTGAAACATTTTTTCCTGATAATTAAATGTATTCATAATTAAATAACAATAAAAATATTTGATCTTGAAAATAAAGTATCATTGATCCGATTATTCTATGCGCAGCTGACATTTACTTTTTTTCCAATCTGTAGAAGAAGAGTTACTTCGCGAGTTTCATGAACCGAATAGCGTGGTTGTAGCTTCTCAAAGTTTCTGTAGAATGTTACGAATGTTCAACATATTGAACGAATATTCGTATATTGTCAATAGAGGGTTAAAAACAAAGATTTGTCAGTCTGTTCCGGAGAAGTAATTTTATGTTTACTTCGTAACCTGTATCTTTCTATGATAGGTATGCAAGGATATCCTCTAAAAGCCGGCGAACCACGCGCAATACCATTGAATGACACTCTGTTGCCGGAATATCTACAAAAATTGGGATATAACACTCATCTGGTAGGGAAGTGGCATGTCGGCTACTATACTGACCATCACACGCCGGCATACCGAGGTTTTGACACTTTCTTTGGATACTACAGTGGATATATTACCTACTTTAATCACACAATTACTCAAGATGTGAGTATTTTTTTTTAATTTTACAGAAGTTAATATTGTTTCTTATATACACTAGTGTAAAGATAAATTATTATTATCAGAGTTATTTTTAGAAGTTTAAATGATGCAATATTTAAGTAGAGTTTAATATGTTAAGCACTAAATTACGAAATTGTTTTAGCTGTACAATTGTTGAGAGTTCTAATGTTTCTTACTGATTCAAGATTCATTCAATTTTACTTCGTGAAATCAATTGTAGTGTTCGGTATCGGTGAAATTCGACTAAAAACTGAGCAAGAAACGTGAATATTAAACCCTTATTAGTTCATTACGAAGACTGATAAAAATTCTTATTTTTAGAAGAGCAAAACTGACTCTTTTCAGTAACTTAAAGAATTTAAACAAAGTGTGAAGGCATATTTTTTTTCAGAATCACACAGGGTACGATTTGCATTACGATATCGCCGGGAAACTTTCAGTCGATCATAATCACGAATACATGACTGATCTTATAACGGAAAGAGCTGAAAATATAATCTCTACGCATGATCGCAAAAATCCTCTTTATCTGCAATTGTCTCATGTGGCGGTCCACTCTTCCGATTCGAAAGACGTGATGGAGGTTCGAGATGCGAATGAAGTGAACAGAACTTTAGGTTACATCGAAGATTTTGATAGAAGAAAGTTTGCAGGTGCTTATAACTATAAATTATATGTATATATTTTACGTAACACTCTAAATCATATATGGAATGTAAAGTTTAAGAGTATCCACCATTTCTTGTACACTTCTAGAGTTCTAATAATTTAAGTTAATAATTTAAAGTTAGTCAGCATTTACTCTGCTACAAATTATGATAAAAGAATTTTGTTAAAAATGTGTTCTTTTTTCAGTAAAAAATCCAGAGCACCCTAATTTTTTGTTTAAATGACACTATTGTTCATTATTAAGGTTATAGCTTTGAACTCAGAAAGTTTATTGCATTTGTTATGTGCATACACGTCGATGTTGATTAACTTTTGTTTCAAACATATTTTTGTGGGATTATTCGAAATGCCTAAAAAATATTCGATATTGTTAAGCGATACATCCTGTATATTAATCGTAATGTATACTACTCTATTTTCAGGTGTAATGACCGCTTTAGATGAATCTGTTGGTAGAGTAGTTAAGGCATTAAAAGAAGCAGAAATGCTAGAAAATTCGATTATTGTCTTCATGTCCGATAATGGTGCACAAACTGTAGGCTTCCTAGAGAATTTCGGATCGAATTATCCTTTGCGAGGGGTAATACAACTATAATAATTATTTTTCAGTTTTCTCACTTGCGGTTGGTTCAATTTGAATCTTCTCATATCGTCACATTTGAATATAGTTTTTATGTGCATCGATGTGAGTATTAAAAAATACTTTGCGAATATTTTATCTTTGAAGGTCCAAAGAAGTGTAAATGTAAATAGTTTTGAACATGCTTTCTTTTTAATACAACTTTATTGATTGAGATAATTCAACTTGTGATATGCGTAACCTTCTTGAATGTAGAAATATTCAGAGTATAAAGAATTTGCTATTTCTTTGTTCTAACTAGCACGTGCCATATCAACGAACGAAAAAAATGTTTACAACACTGATTATGACATTACATATTTTTACATATCAACATGTTATTCTACATATCAATAAAAAATCTTCGTTTTTCGAATTCGATAGCATTTTTAATATATTACAAAAAGATTGTCAGCTAAAGAACATTTTTTCTTGGTAAATTATCAAATGGATTCACCATAGATTTAATTTGATTTTTTTACTTTCTTATTCAGTTACATGCTTTGCACCTAAAGTATACGCATCATTATTGAGTAATGTCATTTATTATACAGTAACATAATTTACGAGATTCAAATGATTATTGTTAAATAATTTCGTGAACTTTTAAAATTTCCCAAAGTTTCTTTCTGCACAAAACATTTGATGTTACGATTTTCAGTTAAAGTTTACACTGTTCGAGGGCGGTGTTCGTGGCGCGGCGTGCGTTTATTCGCCGTTAATAAAAACAGCCTCCAGAATTTCGAATGATTTGATGCATGTGACTGACTGGTTGCCAACATTCTACTCTGCCGCGGGTGGTAATTTGGAAGATTTAGAGGGAAATCTCGACGGCGTTGATCAGTGGTCCACACTTGTTTCCAAGAAGCAAACTAAACGTTCGAGTGTCATGTTGAACATCGACGAGGTAGAAAAAACTTCAGCAGCTATAATCGGAAAATACAAATTGATAAATGGTAATTAAACTTCACGCTTTGATTTGTAGTTTTTAAATTCGCTGAACGTGTCATTATTGTAGGAGCAAGTCCTCAGTACAACGATTATTATGGTGACAGTGGTACCGACAAATCCTATCCAGAATACAATGTATCCAGCGTTTTAACATCGCTAGCAGGTTCTGCGATCGATAAAATATCAAAGTCCACTTTAAAAGTTAAGGATGTAGTTGAGCTAAGGGAAAAAGCGAGAGTAACGTGTGAAAATGTTACAAAATATCCAAAGTGTTTCGACAGATGTTTGTTTAATGTATACAAAGATCCTTGCGAGAGTATAGATCTGTCATTAACGCATCCAAAGGTTTGTAAATATTGTCTTTATATAATACCTATTATACAATATTAAAATACCATTCTTTTTAAGTTAAATTTTTGTTTTGAAAGAATCTATTTTCGTCAGAAGAATAAAGGATTCATTTGGAAACAGAACTACATGTAATTATAATATATATACAGTGGAAAATTTGTTACTTGAACTACCATAAATTATTATCCTGTACTTAGGTTTATCTTAATTTTCTGAAATTATATTCAATGATGAAATTAACTTTTATTTACATTCCGTAGATATATAATAGGTACTTGCAAAGACGTGCAATTGCAAGACTTGATCACATTAAAGGTCAATACTGTCCGCGACAGTACTTACAAAACACTTCAATTAGTTTTTCTGAACTTTCGTTAGTATACTTTTAAATGTCACGATATGTTACGATCGAGAGTTATTATAAGTACTTATTATTCTCTACAGTATATATATATTATTTTTTAATATTCATACATTTATTATAAATCACCTATAGAAAAATAACTTTAAAAATATATATATTAGCTTCGACTATTTGGTACTGCCGTTAGAAAAACGTGCCGTTCGTAAAAGGTTAATTAATTCTTATTACGTCACAGTTAAAATCACAGTCACATACTCTGCATAAACATACATAAAAGAAAAAGCGTATTAATGTCATTTTTGCAAATGTAAGCTTGATATTAGTTCATTATAAAATCTCCTTCTACATGCTGTTTCAAATTTATCAATTATTTACTTTTAAAGAATTATTTTATTTGCAGGTCGTTATTGAACTCAATAATTACATTGGAAAATATATGAAAGTTTTGGTACACCAAACAAACAAACCAGTTGATCCAGCGTCCTTCCCTGAACATTTTAACGGAACATGGATGCCTTGGATAAAACTGCCGGATAATGATAACCCGTTAGATTTAGTTTCTCATGTATCGTTACAAGTAAACGAAGATTTCATCGGTCACTAAACAATTGTTCAATTAAATTGCTACAACCAAAATACCAATCAGTAATAATTGTTTGCTCTCATCATAGATATTTTTAAATAGTTGCAATAAGTATTATTAAAGTGGAGGAATTTTTATTTATGCGTCATGCAAGTTGAATGACATAATTTCTCTTATTTGATGCAAAATAAGAAAATAGCTATTTATTTTTTGATAAATGCAATTATGCATGCATTTTCTGTAATGTAAAAAAGGCTATGAATTCTTGTAAAATATCATAAAAACAAATGCGATTGTCCTAGATATTATGTAAAAAATTTGTTGGAAGATATTTAAATATATTTTACAGGAAATAAATTAAAGGCAAATATTTATCAGTATTCAACTTTGTGAAATAAATCGAAGATACATAAACATTTATCACCGTTTTATTCTTTAAAGCAAATTGAAATAACTATTTTTTTCTAGATAAGTTGAAGGGATACATTTATCAACGATTTAAGTGTTTCTATTTTACACCAACAGCGTTGGTGTCTTCGTGAATCAACGGTCGTAGGAAGAAGTGAGAAAAAGTTTACGGACGAAGGGAGACTAGTTTCCTTTTTTAGTGATGTTATCATTTACAAATTATGCAGATAAGACACTGGTGTTGCAGAGTATCCTGATGTCTGTTTAATTGCATGATATCAAATTAATTAATCTGTGTTTATATGGGCATGCAGCTTCCAGTGACTTTTTTAGTATCTATTCGACTTGTGATACGAGGTGGCTATATAATATTATAAATCTTTTCCGACGAACACTTTGTATAAGTGTTTAGTTCATTACTATTATTCTTAACTATTCCAACAAATCAGAAACTTTATTTTTACTTTGCTTATAAAATGAAAATTATGAAATAATGAACAGTCATTTATTTATGAATGGAAGAAACATAAACCAATATTTGATTGTCATATTGCACACATATGTTTTACCAATTTTATTTACAGAAGCAGTCTTTCTATCGTAGAACATCAAAATATAACATGCTGTATAAAGAATGAAATTTCTTATAATTAATTATATTATATTACCCTTTTATTCCAATATATTATCTCTGCTTGTCAAAATTAAAACTGGTAAATATCAATAGATTACTGTTATCAATTTATGCATAATGGTCATAAAATTTTGTAATCAAATTAAACGTTTCATTAGTAATGATTTTAGTATTATGAATGGTATTCTGTTCGAATGATAAGAAACCGGATTAACATAGAAATTTCAATAACAATGTCAAAAACTTAAAACATTTATAAAACTTGGTATCATCATCAAGTTAAACAACAAACTTTTTCATGCTTTCTATATTTCTAAAAGAAATCAAAATAGTACACTTAATTAAATCAGCCATCCACAACAAAGGAATACACAATACAATCATATAAATAGATAATCATCTGCATAATTTAAAGTCATTATCAATTATCCAATGAGATTGACGCAATTTGAAATATACAATGAAGAAAACAATAATACCGTGTATAAACTATAATATAAAATAATTTCA